CCCCCCCCCCCGTTACACAGATGCAGAACCATCTGCATTATGAGTCTGGTTTGGCTTTTGAGAACATCATTTACATGAACCACAGTGTGGATAGTGCTCCCCAGAGTTGTACAATATAGCAGCTACTTGTCCATGAATCCCATGCAGCCTAGACATGATACAAGGAGATTTTTACATATAGTATATACCTTTGTGCCTTTCCTCTGCCCCCATGGAAGGACTAGGTGTGGCTGAGTGGCTAATGACAAAGATTCATGCTCAGAGAAGCCATGCTAAGATCTAAGACCCTTAGTTTTCGAAGATTAAGCCTTCAGAGGCCCAGCTAGGATCTGAAAACCAGGAAAATGGTGTGCAATTCCCATGTTAGAAAAAGCAAAGGATTTGGTTGGGCATAGTTCTGAGAACCAAGGATTTGAGTGTTGGGCAAAGAAGAAATCAGGAGCAAGCCTGGGGAGTAGGGTCTAGGGTCATACCTTGTGTTAATCACCTTTCTGCCACTGTGAAAACATACCTGAGAAAGTCAACTCAAAGGAGGAAAGGTTTACTTTAGGTCATAGTTCCAGAGCTTTCAAGTGTATAGTCACTTGGTCCCATTATTTTCTTGGGCCTGTGGTAAGACATAACATCATGGAGGAAGGGCATGGCAGAGGAAAAGCTGGTCACCTCATGATACCAGCAAGCGAAGACAGCAAGGAAGGACAGGGCCCACAAAGGCATACCCTTAAGGACACAACTCTGCTCCTCCAATCTCCTAAGTTTCTACCACCTCCCAATAGCCTGTCAAATTATGAACCCATCATCAGATTAATTTACTGATAAGGTCCGATTCCTTACCACCTCAAAAGCTGAGCATGGCTATATTAGAGACCAGACCTTCAAATGAGTTTTGGAGGAATATTCTCGATTTAAACTATAGCAAAACTAAATTTGAATCAAGTGGTTTAGATGGCCTATAGGAGGTAGATTTTGTCTGAGACAAGGCAGATAGGTAGCCTCAGAGACAATGGCTTGGATTAATCCTTTAATAATTGTTTTGTATGGGCCTTAATCTCAGTGCCTTGTACTTTTGCTTAGCTTTTACCACTCAAGGTTGGCACGCTATCATTTTAGCCACAGCTCCCCTTTGGCTTTTTGCTGGTTAATTGGAAATAAAAGTCTCATGGACTTAGCCGCCCGCTGGCTTTAAACCATGATGCTCAGAACTCAGCCTCCTTAGGACCCAAGATTGCAGATGTGAGCCATTGGCACCTGGCTATAATTGCTTTTTATAATATAACAGTTTAGTGTTATATAAAATGTAGACTTTATTCCCGCACTGCCAAATAAAACAAAACAAAGAAAAAGCACATTGACTTTACAGTTATACAAACTGGATTCAAATCCCTGCTTCCCACTAATTTGCTGTGTTACCTGGGCTAGTTGAAATAGGAGTTTAGCCCTCTGTTTTCTCATCTACAAAACAGGAACAGTAATGGACAACTTTTTATTTGTGGTCTCATTGAATCTCAAATCAGTTCAGTGTATTATCTCCATGTCACAAATGACCCTCAAACTGAGGGCCTAGGAGAGGCTGACTATTCAATCATATGCCTAAAGATAGTATTAAATGGAACTAGAATTCAAACCCAGCTTTCCTGAATGCCAGCACCAAGCCCACTGGATCCAACACCAAGATTATTCTCCCATGTTTTTATGATATAGGCCTTGGAACTCTATCCCCACAGCGGAAACTGCCCGGTAGACCTTCTTCTTGAAAACCTTACCTTGACCATGAAATTCTCCCATGTTTTATGATATAGGTTTCAGAACTCATTATCCCCACAACAGAGACTGCCCGGCAGACCTTCTTCCTGAAAACCTACCTTGACCACGAAATTCCAATGCTGTTTGTGGGTCCCACGGGCACTGGAAAGTCAGCTATCACCAACAACTTTCTTCTCAGCCTTCCCAAAAATATCTACCTGCCCAACTTCGTCAACTTCTCTGCCAGAACTACAGCCAATCAGACCCAAGATATCATCATGTCCAAATTGGATCGCCGTCGGAAGGGCCTTTATGGGCCTCCCATAGGGAAGAAAGCAGTGGTATTTGTGGGTAAGTCATTGGCCTGGGTCTGTGCATATAATATGATTTAATACATATATGTATACATACTAGGTGCTCTAGTGATCAAGCTAATTTAATATAGTGAGACCCTGTTTGAAAATAATATGATCACTCCAGGAAATGGAAATGAGGTTTTTATCTTTGTTGCTGTTTCCGTTTTCATATCCTTTTGTCTTGTTTTTTCATTTATCTGCCTTTGGGAGGGTAAGGAGGGCACAGAAATGGAGGGACAAAGGGTGAACAAATGCAGTAGTGGTACTCACTAGACACTGGTACTCACTAGACAACTTGTGGGTAGGGATGGAAGTAAAAATCTAGGAGACAGTGAGGGAATAGGTGACATTGTTCAAAAAGAAATGTACTCTTGGGCTGGGAATGTGGCTTAGTAGTAGCGTGCTTGCCTAGCATGCATGAAGCACTGGGTTTGATTCCTCAGTTCCACATAAACAATCAAACAAAAAATCCAGAAGTGGCGCTGTGGCTCAGGTGGTAGGGAGCTAGCCTTCAGCAAAAGAAGCTCAGGGACAGTGCCCAGGCTTTGAGTTCAAGCCCCAAGAATAGCAAAAATAAAAAAAAGAAATGTACTCTTAATCTGAGTTACATAACTGTAACCCCTCTATACATCACTGTTATAATAGCAATAAAAAATTAGAAAAAAATAAAGGAAACTTTAAAAACAAAATAATAACAAGAAAAAAAACTAAAAACAACTATTAGTTATCTCTTTGTTGTTATATCTCCGGCAATTCACAAATCTCTAACATGTAGTAGGCAATTGGTATATTTAGGATGAAGGCAATGGAAAAAAAATTAAATATCTGTTTGTTGGTGTCAATTTTGCAGCCTAGACAGAGCCATGACAAGCCAGCAGAGCTCAGAACTCAGGAAAATCCCTTCCCTTCTTAGTAGAGTTGAGACAATTGGACAGACTCTCCCTGGGTAGAATAGTCACCTCCTGTGAGGGCAAAGGGTCCTAGAAACTTACAAAGTGTGGCTCTGGCTTCTTTTCTACAGATGACCTCAACATGCCAGCAAAAGAAGTATATGGGGCCCAACCCCCCATTGAGCTCCTGAGACAATGGATTGACCATGGTTATTGGTTTGACAAAAAAGACACAAACAGACTGGACATTGCAGACGTGTTGCTTGTGACGGCCATGGGCCCCCCTGGGGGAGGAAGGAATGATATTACTGGTATGTGAAAAAGAAAGCTATTTTTTCCCCTTTTCCCAGCAGAGCTGGCTATCATGGATGGGAGGACACTCTTTCCTGAGACAGAGAGCAAAGTGTTGTGTATAGGGTATAGCTAGAAGAGTTGGGGTTAAGTACAGACTGTTGACACTTGTGAACTACAATAGAAAGATGACAAGAGAGGGTATGAAGATGTGATCATGTGTGAAAATCTTGCACATGGATCAACTGAGACAAAGTGGATATTCCATCCACGTTTATTGAAAATAAGAGTCTCCACCAGTGGCTCATGCCTATAATTCTAGCTACTGTGGAAATTGGGATATGAGGATTATGATTTGAAGCCAGCCTGGGGCAGGAAAGTCTGTGAGACTCCTAACTTCCTGCAAAAAACAAAAACAAAAACTGAAAGTGGAGCTGTGGCTCAAATGGTAGAGTGAAGGAAAGAAGACGCGAAAGCAAAGGAAGAAAACAGAGAAGAGAAAAAAGGAAAGGGAAGGGGGAAGGAGTATTCATTTTCTTGAGTGCCTTCTATGTGCCAGGACTAAGCAAAAAGCTGCTGAGGAGAAACGCATCCACGTCATCAAGGATGACGTATGAGAGTGTCTCATGGAGAAGAGCATTCAGGATGGCCAGCATGTGTCCCAAGAGACAGGCTAGGTCTGAAGGCAACCACCAGTGAATGATGGAGTTACCTGTCATGTGCATAGCAAGCTTTCCAAAGAACACCTAATTCAAAGTGGCCTAAGCAAAACACATAATAATAATATTAGGCGATACAAATAAATAAGTAGAGTTTCCCCCTATCATGTCTCACAGTTCAAAAGTACAGCCTGCTTCGGGTGCAACTTAATCTATACACTTCTAGAAGTTTCTATACTTTTACTCCAGTATTCATAGTTGTTGAAGAATCTTCATATCATTTTCAAATTTGGATTCTTTGACCTTGGATAAAGTCTGTCCTCTTCAGCAGTCAGCTTTCTCGTCGGCAAAATAAGAAAAACAAACAGGATGACCAGAATGACTTCATTTGTACCCAAGCCATCATCTTCTACTTTAAGTATAAAGTTAATGGATGTGACCAGGTGCCCATGTCTCATGCCTGTAATCCTAGCTACTCAGAAGGTTGAGAGCTGTGGATCCAGGTTCTAAGTCAAGCTAGGGCAGGAAAGTCTGTGAAACTCTTATCTCCAATTAACCACCAGAAAACCGGAAGTGGAGCTGGGACTCAAAGAATGCTAGCCTTGAGCAGAAAAAGCTCAAGGACAGGGCCCAGGACCTGAGTTCAAGCCCCATGACTGACAAAAAAAAAAAAAAAAAAGGTTGAGGGATACCTTTGCCTTGGGCTTGAAAAGCAGCAGTATCCTAAGAACCTAGAATCCATAAACTCAATGTTTCTCTTATCAGTGAGAAGAAAGGACTTTGTATCCCTTTATTCTATTTAAGCCTGAGATATTTATGGTGTATCTGTATCCAGGGCACACAACAACAGGCAGTTTTCTAGCTGCATTATACATATGAACCTTGAAGAACCTGTATAATAAAACTGCCAGGAGCCTATTGGTAGTCAAGTGAAATTAGGTGTATGAATTGCTGCAGCCAGGGCATCTGCATTCCCCTCTGACCTCATAGGAGTAGCTGTGGGAGGGTGATGGGAGGCAGATGGGCCTGGGATTGGGGAAGTGCTGTGAACTGTGAACATTTTAATAATTTGATCTGTGAGTCAGGAGGAATGAAGAAAAGCTAAAATGGCTACCAGGTAAAGAAGCTGAGTCACTCATGTTAGTAACTGTGAGGAAATATAGTAATTTTCATGGTTGGCTGAACAATTGTGTTTCTATTGTACTTTTGTTTTTTTGCTGACCAGAGGTTTGAACTCATGGCCAGGGCACTGTCCCTGAGATCTTTTTTTAAAAAAATATATTTTATTAGATTATATTTTAAAGTATTTATATGTTTGTTTTATATAGATTTTCTAATAAGTATGCTATAAACTTTGCTATGTATTTATTCAAAATTGACAGCATATTAATTACAACTTAGTTGCTATTCTCTATTTCATATTCTTTTTTAATATATTTATTGTAAAAATGCTGTACAGAGGGGTTACAGTTACATGAGTAGGGTAATGAGTACATTTTGTAGCGAGCATTGTTACCTCCTCCTTTGTTTTCCCCCTACCATCATTCCCCTCCCCAAATCCCCAACTCCTCCCCCCCCACATTGTAAAGTTCATTTTCAACATAGGGTCTGTACATCCACAATGGGTCAGCCTGAATCCCCATTTAAGTGTTACCCAATATCCCTTCCCCTCCCCAAATGTATATACAAGGAGCAGAACACTGGCATCAAATCCAGTGAGAACAGGGGTTATATTGTGGGGGAAGAACATACAAAAGAAACAAAAGAATCACATAGTTCATTGTAAGTACATTAAAAACACTCGCAAGAAAGAAAAAAACACTTTTATCCCTGTCTTGGGGTACATTTTGCTTAACATTATCTCATGTAGTCTTATGTACATAACCTTTGACCTTCTCTGCTTGTCCTAGACATGTACTAGTCATTGCAAACAAGGGAAACCATGGGACTAATGTTTCTTTGGACCTGGCTTACTTCAGTTAATATAATTTTTTCCAAGTCTTTCCATTTCCTAACAAAAGAGGCAATGTCATTCTTTCTGACGGAGGCATAGAATTCATACATATATACATGTATATGTGATATATATGTGTATGATATATATGTGTATCACATTTTCTTGATCCATTCATCTACTGAGGGGCATCTAGGTTGGTTCCATATCTTAGCTATGGTAAATAATGCTGCGATAAACATGGTTATGCTGGTAGCTTTGGTATGACCTTATTTTTGATTGTTTGGGTAAATGCCCAAAAGTGGGATTGCTGAATCATAAGGGAGCTCTATGTGGAATCTTTGAAGGACCTGTATGACTAAAACTTTAAAAACCTTAAAAAGGAGGGGGCTGGGAAGGTGGCTCAGTGGTAGAGTGCTTGCCTTGCATGCCTGAGGCCTTGGGTTCGATTCCTCAGCACCACATAAGCAAAAAGAAAAAAGCCGGAAGTGGCACTGTGGCTCAAGTGGTAGAGTGCTAGCCTTGAGCTGAAGAGCTGAGGGACAGCGCCCAGGCCCAGAGTTCAGGCCCCACGACCGGACCCCCCCCTCAAAAAAAAAAGAAGTAAAAACCTTAAAAAGGAAATTAAAGCAGAACTAAGCAAGTGGAAAAACCTCCCATGCTCCTAGATTGGGAGGATTAACATCATGAAAATGGCAATACTGCCAAAGGCTATCTACAAATTCAATGCGGTATATCTATCAATATTCCAACCTCATTCTTCAATGAAATAGAGGAAGCAATCCAAAAATTCATATAGAACAATAAAAGACTCAGAAGATCAAAAACAATCATTAGTAGAAAGACCAGAGCTAGAGGAATATCAATTCCAAATTCAAACTCTACTACAAAACCTTAGTAATCAAAACAGCATAGTACTGGCAAGAACAGACCTGAGGACCAATGGAATAAGATTGAAGACCCAGAAATGAACCCACAGACCTATAGCCACCTAATCTTTGACAAGGGAGCTAAAGAAATAGAATGGAAGAAAAACAGCCTTTTCAGAAAATGATGCTGGCAACATTGGTTAAACACTTGTAAAAACTAGAGCTAGATCTGTATATATCACACTGTACCAGAATCAACTCCAAATGGATCAAAGACCTCGGAGTCAAAGCAGACTCCATGAAAACTACAGGAAGGAATAGAAGAAACTCTAGGGCTCCTTGGCACAGGCTGAAATTTTCTTAATACAGATCCAGAAGCACAACAAATCAAAAAAAGGTTGGACAAATGGGATTGCATGAATCTGCAGAGCTTCTGCAAGGCAAAGGACATAGCTAGCAAGATCAACAGAAAGCCCACGGATTGGGAGAAGATCTTCACTAGCCATACAACAGACAAGGGTCTCATAGCTCAAATATACTTAGAACTCAAAAAACTAAATCCCCCAACAACAAATCCTCAAAGAAATAACTGCCCAATTAACAAATGGGCTAAAGACTTAAAGAGAGACTCCTCTGAAGAGAATATAAGAATGGCCAATAGACACATGAAGAAATACTCGACCTCTCTAGCCATAAAAGAAATGCAAATCAAGACAACACTGAGATTCTACCTCACCCTAGCTAGAATGGCTATAATCAAGAAATCTAGAAACAACAGATGCTGGAGGGGATGTGGCTAAAAGGGAACCCTACTGCATTGTTGGTGGGAGTGTAAACTTGTTCAACCACTCTAGGAAGCAGAATGAATGTCCCTGAGCTCTTTGGATCAAGGTTAGTGTTTTACCACTTTGAGCCACAGCACCACCTCCAGTTTTCTGGTTTAATTGGAGGTAAGAGTCTTATGGACTTTCCTTTCCTGCCTGGGCTGGCTTTGAACCATAATTCTCAGATCTCAGCCTCCTGAGTAACTAGGATTACAGGCGTGAGCCACTGTGCCTAGCTTCTCTTGTACTTCATTATAGGCATGGAGTGATCACATCTGATGTTGGCTTTTTTTTCGGGGGCAGGGGGAGGGGGGTACTGGTGCTGGGGTTTGAACTCAAAGCCTGGTTGCCATCCCTCCCTGATTTTTTTGCTCAAGGTTAGCGCTCTACCACTTGAGCCACTGCTCGACTTCTAGCTTTTTGTGGTGTTTAATTAGAGGTAAGAGTCTGATAGACATTCTTGCCCAAGCTGGCTTTGAACTGATGTCCTCAAAGCTCTGCCTCCTGAGTAGTTAGGATTATAGGTGTGAGCCATGGGTGCTTGGCTCTGTTGTTGATTTTTAATGATTGGGAGACAATAGCCCAGGTGATTAATTGAACCAGGACTCTGGTGGGAAAACTTAGACAGAAGGCAATGTAAGTATGCTGATGTAGAACATGGTTTGGCAGCAGATTAAATGTTTCTTCAAGTTCACATAACGACCAATGGTCCTAGATTGATAGTCTATAAAATATTATTTTACTACTTTTCTGTGTTTGTGCTGGACCAGAGGCTTGAACTCAGGGCCTGAGTGCTGTTCCTGAGCTTTTTTGCTTAAGGCTAGTGCTCTTCCATGGCTCCATTTCCAGTTGTTGTTTTTTTTGAGTAGTTTATTGGATATAAGAGTCCCATGAACTTTCCTGTGCAGACTGGCTTCTATCATCAGATCTCAGCCTCCTGAGTAGCTAGGATTAGAGGTGTGAGGCAACAGTGCCAACCTCTATTACTTTTGTTTGTTTTTGGGTTGGGCTGTGGGGCCTGAACTCTGGGCCTGGGCGCTGTCCCTCAGCTCTTCAGCTCAAGGTAGGCACTCTACCACTTGAGCCACAGCGCCACTTCCAGCTTTTTTCTTTTTGCTTATGTGGTGCTGAGGAATCGAACCCAGGGCCTCAGGCATGCAAGGCAAGCGCTCTACCACTGAGCCACCTTCCCAGCCCCCTCTATTACTTTTTTAAAAAGCAAAACCTGTGGGGCTAGCCAATGAGCAAAAGCTTTAGGTACCAAGTTCAAGTACTAGTCTTAGACCAAAAAATAAAATAATAAAATAAAAAGCATTGAAGGCAAAGGGAAAATAATTTCTTCTATATCCCAGGGTCACATAGTCTAGGAAGTATGTGGGAAAGCTCATGTGTGTGTGTGTGTGTGTTGTGTGTGTGTTTCCAGGAAGATTCACCCGTCATCTGAATATCGTTTCCATCAATGCCTTTGAGGATGACATTTTAACCAAGATTTTCACCTCTATCTCCGACTGGCACTTCAGAAAAGGATTTGATGTAGCCTTCTTAAGGTAAGAGGTTCCTGTATCTTCCTAGGTATTGGGCCTCAGGTGTGGCTCCTTCTTGATTGGTCTGTCTCTTCTTTCTTCCAAGGTATGGGAAGATGATGGTACAAGCTACTAAGATAATTTATAGAGCTGCAGTGGATAACTTCTTGCCAACTCCCTCCAAGTCACATTACGTCTTTAACCTAAGGGACTTCTCACGGGTGATCCAGGGGGTACTTCTATGCCCTTATACCCACCTGCAGGTCAGCCACTATGGTGTCTGCTGTTGTAATCATTAACAATATCCTTGGCGATAGCTGTTATAATAGCTTTTATTAAGTGCTTAGTATATACTAGGTACTGTGCCTAGCTTAGTATTTTATAAGCTCATCTCAACCCAAAGATTTAGTTACATCTTAAAAGCCAATACTTTAAGCACGCTCTCATGCCAATAATTAAACTCTTCATTTTTAGGATGTGGAAAAATTTATCAGGCTTTGGATCCATGAGGTTTATCGAGTCTTTTATGATCGTCTGATTGACAAGGAAGACAGGCAGGTCTTCTTCAATATGGTGAAGGAAACCACCTCCAATTGCTTCAAGCAGACCGTAGATAAGGTGAGCTAGATTCTAGGATCATTTGGCTTCAGAAATGGTCCCAAGTGTTTGACTGTGTTCGTCAAAAACACTGGATTCCCATCCCAATAAGGACTTGCCACTCTGATCTCAGGAAAAGACATTGCATAGGCCAGCTGGTCATTTGATTTGGTGATATTTATTTGATCTAATTTTATTCGTTTCTATAGTAACATTTATGTTTGGATACACTTCAAAGAGATTAAAAAGTTGAGCATGATAACACATGTCTATAATCTGAACACTAGGACGGCAGAGGCAGGAAGATCTTGAGTTTATGGCCAGCCTGGGCCAAACTATGTAGAGAGAGTCCCTGTCTCAAAAAATGTGACTAATACCTGATGCTGTTTGTTCATAATTAACTTGAAATGTATTTTAGGGTCAAGTCATATGAGACTTTAGATTTAAAAAAAAAAAACATGAGTTTTCATGGTTAATTTGAGTCCCTGGTAAAAACTCATGTGAAATTTGTCACCGTCTTACATTTGTGACTATTTTTTTTTCCATTTTGATATAAGGAAAATTATTTTTAAAACGATTTGCATCATCTGGTTTCTATCTCCATTGTAAAGAAGCTGTGATTTCTTAGAGAAAAAAAAAAAATTGTAGGAGTGTTGTATACTGCCTCCAGAGGCCAAGTATAGAAGTGCCAAGTCTACCATTCAGGAGAGGAAACATCGAAAAGATTCTGACTGTAATTACAGAGTAGGGACCAGGACTTGTGCTTGCCCTGTGATGAAGAAGCAAGTGGACAAAGAAAGAAATGATGTTGCCCTTCAGTTGTCCTCTCTAGGGACTTATACTATGATCATCAATGTTTTCCTATTTGATAAGTAGACTGACCTTCCCTTTAACACTATATTTAATTTTCTTTAATCATGGTCTTTTCAATAATCAGATCCACCTATTTCGTTAAGGGGGAAAAAAAAACCCTAAGCAATGACTTAAAGGAATCAACACATCTCCCATTCCTCCTGCATACAGCCCACCACCAACCTGATTGGCTCACAGGCTGAGTACTAACTGATGTTTACCTTTCCCACAGGTGCTCATCCACTTGTCACCGGATGGCAAGATCGTTGATGATAACATCCGTAGCCTCTTCTTTGGGGATTTCTTCAAGCCAGGAGCTGACCCAAAAATCTATGATGAGATTATTGATCTAAAGCAGCTCACATCAGTGATGGAGTACTATTTAGAAGAATTCAATAACATCAGCAAAGCCCCCATGTCTTTGGTCATGTTCAAGTTTGCCATTGAGCATATCTCCAGGATCTGCAGGGTCCTGAAGCAGAACAAAGGCCATTTGCTCCTGGTGGGCATTGGGGGCAGTGGGCGGCAAAGTGCCACCAAACTGTCCACATTCATGAACTCATTTGAGTTATACCAGATCGAGATCACAAAGAACTATATGGGCAATGACTGGCGGGAGGACCTGAAAAAGATCATGCTGCAGGCTGGAGTAGCCTCGAAGAGTACTGTGTTCCTCTTCGCAGATAATCAGATCAAGGATGAGTCATTTGTGGAGGACATCAACATGCTTCTAAACACAGGCGATGTGCCCAATATCTTCCCAGCAGACGAGAAGGCTGACATCGTGGAGAAGATGCAAACAGCAGCCAGAACAGAAGGCCAGAAGATTGAAGTCACTCCGCTTTCTATGTACAATTTCTTTATAGAGCGGGTGAAAAAGAATCTACATATTGTGCTTGGTGAGAGAAAGCAGTCTGCCCCTTTTCCTCCAGGGTTTGCAGGGTTTACTCAGTGCCCAATCTCAACTTCTCCAGTGGCTCTAAGGCTCTACCAAGACAGGCAAGAGTCAAAGACCGCTGCCTACTGCCTCATTCTTCCCTTGAATAACTATTTTAAATCCCTTCACTATGAAACTTCCTCTGAGAAAACATACTTTTGCCTATATTACAGATACCTGTGATGTTCTCTATGAATACCACTGTTAATCTGACCAGAAATTTAAGAATTGTGTTTAATTTTCTCTAAGCTGGATGCTCTGGCTCACGCCTGTAATCCTAGCCATTCAGGAGGCTGAGATCTAAGAATTGTGGTTTGAAGCCAGCCTGGGGAAGGAAAGTCTGTGAGACTCTTATCTCTAATTAACCAGCAAAAAGTCAGAAGTGGAGTTGTGGGTCAAGTGATTGAGTGCCAGTCATGAGAGAAAAAAAAATCCCACCAAATATCTATGAGACAGTGCTCAGACTCTGCATTCAAGCCCCAGGGCTGGTGCATATGTGTGTGTGTGTGTGTGTGTGTGTGTGTGTGTGTTACCAAGTTCTATTAATGTTTACCCCCTTATCTCTCATATCTACACTCTTATCTATATCTCTACTTCCTTCGCATTAGCTAAGCTGCCATCAACTTAGCATCACCTGGACTTCATCTGTCCACTGTTCTGTTTCATATCAGCTCTTGTTCACTATAGACTTTTCATTCCACCAAGCCAAGATGATGTTTTCATGCATAGCAAATACGAACATTGTGTTCATGTTTGGGTGCGCATGCACATGTAGGCACACATAAAATACTTAAATTGGCTCAGGGCTGGTGTCTCATGCCTGTAATCATCGCTAACAGAAGCTGAGATTGGAGAATTGCAGTTCAAAGCTAGCCTTGGCAGTTAAGTCCATGAGGCTCTTCAATTAACCACCTCTTCCTTCTTTCCTCCCCTCCTCCCTCCCTCCCTTCCTTCCTTCCTTGCTTCTTTCCTTCCTTCCTTCCTTCCTTCCTTCCTTCCTTCCTTCCTTCCTTCCTTCCTTCCTTCCTTCCTCTCTTGCTCTCTTGCT